CATGTAATTAAGGAGCATTTTAAAATTTTATCATAACATGTAATTTTGTTGTAAAAAATTCTTAGGATTATCTTAAAATCTATTTTCATACCTAATTAGAATATTTTAAATTCCAAAAATGATTAAAATCAAGTAGATCTATAAATATATGAAAATCTTGAAAATGGACGGTCTAGATAATATGTTGCAAAATGCACTATTTCCGGGACTCAAAAACTTTTTTTTTTTTCATATTCATACATCTCAACGTCGAGATGATCGATTAGAGGGTTTTTTCAACATTAAAACAATATTTCGGATAAATTTTGAGATGCATTATACATTTTAAGGTTGCAACCTTATATAAACTTTTCCATATATATATATATATAAAGGGTTCCAATTAAAGCGCACCTCCAAAAAATTTAGAATGGTGAAGTTATATGTACATGTCATATGCATTTTCTTATAAAGAAAACTTAGGTATGGACACCTTTTCAATGGGTTTATTATAATATGGGTCATATTTTTGTAAAAATTATGCAGAGACCACCTTTGCTCTGACATTTCCAACTCTGGACCGTTGGGAAATCTCCCAAATTTTCGACCATTTCTATTAATCAGGGCTTGTTTTATATTTGCAGCATTGAAAAGCTCTACTGTTTGCAGCATTGAAAAACTCTATTAATCGGTTAACTTGGGACAACTAAACTCTCTAAATTGTCTGGCATTAGAAAAACTGAATTTATGATTAGTAATTATTAATATTCTGTAGGTAATGTAATAATTTTTTTTATTCTTATTTTATTTACTGCTATTTTTAGTTGAATGTATTTTATTTTTCAATAGATTTTCCTTTATCTTATATTTTATACTTTTCTTTTTATATTTCTAAATTTCTATCCTATTTCTATTCTACTTTTTCTATCCTTTCACATATGAAAAAGTATACAAAGAGACCACTTAGTTTTAATGCAAGGAGGTCACAATCGATCTTGTTTGCCAAATTTTTAATGGGGTAGTGTAAGTATGTCATTAACTAGACACAAAGTTCAAAAAATAATTTTTCGAGCTTTTTGAAATTCCCCCAAACTATCCAATTTGACATGTAATGGCTACTAGCAATTGTGACCTCCTATTAGAAAAGATAAATGGTCAAAAAGTATACAATCCCTTTATATCTTTGTATTCTAATTCTAAAATTAGAAAAAAAAGAAAAGAAATAAATTGTACTAAATTCTATCTCAAAAAAATTTATTGAAAAAGAAAATACGTTCAAATATAAATACTAATAAATAGTAAGAAATAAAGAAAATTAATTAGATTACATGAATTTTATATACTAATTAAATATAAATACTTTAAATAATGACAATCCCTTATAATAGTAATGGTATTTCTTATGCTGGACAACTTAGAAAGCTGAGTTGTCCAACACTAGGAACATTGAACAATAAGCTGTTTGGTTTCCTGATATCAGTCAGGCCCTGAATAAGAGGAAATTTTAATTGGTTGAGTTGTCTAACATTAGAAATACCGAATAATGTGGTTATCTGGTGTTGCTAATACTAGATAGGCCCTGACTAAGAGAATTTCCCACCTGCTCGTGTTAGAAATGTGGGACAGTTGGGCAATTCTAAAAAAACAAGGGTTGCAGGGTGGGGATAGTCTTTGCGTATTTTTTACAAAAAATAACCCGTGTCGTAATAAACGGGTTGAAAATGTGTTTTTACATGAATTTTCTTTCTCATAATAAGAAGAAGGAAATATTTTCTTATCTTATAATAACTAAAAGAAAATGTTTATATATGCTTGATGCCCTAATATAGAATTAAGATGCACCTAAAAAATCCTTCGAAAAAAAACATTTTGATGTTGAAAAAAATATCTGATTAAGCCTCTATGGACATGGTATGGGTGGGGAGAGAGATTTGGGGTGCTTTTGTCATTTCTTAATTGTTGGGTTTGTTGTTTTTCCCAATATATCGTAGGTTTTAGAATTTAGAGGGATGGGTTCTCCCTATTTGTGGTGTGGCCATACTGTGTATGTGTGTGTTTTGAAGGGTCCCTTTCGCATGTTTCTTTAGCACCCAAGGCGGGCCCGCTCTACTTATTCATTCATGGAACGACTGTTGTCTATGACACTACTCATATCATCTCCCTCTAAAACAACAGTCACCCGTCTCTCTCTCTAACAAAATCACTACTCTCTCTCCCCAAACACGAAAGCTCTAGCACATAGATGAGGTTGATTGTTCTGTGTCCTCTCTTAACTGTAGAATGCCTTGATTGAGTTGAAAAAAGGGTGAACTTGAGATTCTTACAGTTGTGTGTATTTATAAATGAGAGTGAGAGTAGGAGAGGTTGATTTTATCGAGGAATACTTTGCCGAGGTGAAAGAAAGACTAAAGTGATTTTATCGGGGAATATTTTTTTTATCTTGTACCCAATTTTGTTTTTGGCAAATATCACTTATAAGTAGTTTTATTACAATAACTCATGCTTCAAAGAAAATAAAAACTAACAAATTCAATATCTTAAAAACCTTAATGCCACTAAACAAATTTATTTAAACAAAAGAAACGAACCACAACTCTTATGCTTTGGAATATAAAAGCAATATAATTAAAATATGCAAGAGTGCCGTAAAACAAATCATAAATACCATTTTATAATTGTTATCTAAAATAAAGCATGATTAAGAATAGTTATAAAAAAACTTGACAAAATAATTCCTTTTGGCAAATATGGAGATTTTATCAAGAGATCATCATCACAACACATCATATTACTGGACATTATTGGAAGGATGGTCACTAAGAACGAGTTTCATTAGAACACTCATTTTGTGGTTACATATTTGAATGAGCCACACCCATCTCTCGTGTTTCATACTTAGGGCTCATTGCCCTTGATCAAATCACATCTCCATGTGTATTACTACTTTAAATAGTTTATATTCTAGCACAAGGAGGCACTAAAACACAAGGTATTCATAAACCGACTCTTTCAAATTTGTTAGCATCTATCACTTAATGTCCATACACTTCATACATATTCATAGAATAATTAGCCAAAAATAACTAAAGCATTTTAAATATAATAAAAAGTTACTGAAACGTCTTTTCATGTATGACCTTACCATATAATGTGAGATAGACTTCATACCTCAAAACCATGTAGTGTGGTACCTGGGCTTTCTTGATTCATTCTTGTTTGACAATCTTTTGTGATCTTGGAAGAGCACACAACTGATGGATAATATATTGGTTATCAGTTTCATATGTTACGAAGTGTCCACCTCTACGGCACGTCCCTTTCTCACACTGTAAAGAAATACTCTTCTTCATTCCATCATTTCAAATATCACAAATTTGATCCTTCCACTGATTTCTATCATTTCTTTGCTACCACAAAGTATCTCTATGTATCCATTCATTTTGAAGAAAACAATAGGTTTTTATAAGTATTGTGTTTCTTCTTCTTTATGCTATTATCGGATCGAACACTTTTCATATAGAGTGTCGTATCTCGCCAATTCTGTATTACCATTCTCTAAAGTTATATTATAATAAACCATACTCATGACACACTATAAAACCTTTTTCAATGAGCCCTAAAAAATTTTCTATTGTTAAGAATCTAAAGATGTGTCGTAACATACCACATCTTTTAATTTACTGCATAATAGAACATGAGCATTCCATGATAAAAATATGATATCTCTCAACTCATAAAGAGTTTATCTCCTAATCCTTTTGAAATAAACTCAAAAATATAAAATACTGCTCAGTTCCATCTCTCAAACACGCCATTTAGTGAGTCTACGTTTTAATGACATTTACTTCAGGTTTAAATTTTAAGAAATTTTAAGTGTATTACAATCAAACTGTTAATGATGGGATTTTGAAGGAGACCTTTTTACTAACTTGTACTTCGTTTGTGGGAGTGTTCCAATCATATCAACTGTTAACATAGTAAATTATTAAGGGTGTGGTTTAGGGTTTAGATGGTTTTCCAATATCAAAATAGCATTTTTCCATAGAGTTTTAAGGTGCACTTTGATTCTACAATAAGGTGTCAACTTTATATAAACTTTTTCCAATTTGTAACGTTCAAATTTTAAGTATATTACAATCAAACTGTTAATGACAGGATTTTGAAGGAGACCTTGAAGCAAACTTGTACTTCGTTTGTGGGAGTGTTTTTCGTCTCCTTCAAATAATCTTTTTGGTCTTGATAACTTGTTAGAAGAGGTTGGATCTTAGCATATTGCCCATTGATTAGTGTATCCAGAGGCAATGTTCACCTCAAATCGAATGAGGAAGTTAAGAAGATTTTAGTACAAAGACATTGGAGAGTAAGGGCGGTGCTTTTGAATTTGGATCATTGGACAATATCCTCTCACGTGCCTTTGGTTCTTAAGGAGCTTTTCTAGATCAGATCGTAGGGCATTCCTCTCCATGCATGGAATTTGGAAGTCTTCCAAAGTTTAACTGCGTTACATGGAGATTTTGTGGGTATTGATTGGAATACGGTTAAGGGTCTAGATTTGGCATATGTTTGAGTTAGAGCGAAGAGGAATTTTTTCTTGTTTTTGCCTAATAAAATCAAATTCAAGGTAGGTTTAGAATTTAGATTTTTTTTTTTGATGTGACTGTGGAAGATTTGAAATCTTTCAAGACTTGCTCAGTGTCTCAATCCAACACTTAGGCATTACACCCAAATACACTCACAATGGAGATGAATGGACTGAGTTACATAGGGGGGCATGGTAAACAGAAGGGACTGGAATCCTTCTCAGAGAAGGGTACTAAGCTTGGGATCAGCTATAGACACTCATGAAAGCCCAAGGGAGGCTTCTAAAATGGCAAGGACACATAGTCCAATGAAGGTCTCTCATACGTCAGCTTTTTCAATTCCTAAGTTTAAATTCGTGTAGGTTTGGAATCCAGTGCAATGTTGTGTATCTCAATGCTCTACCTATATCCGGCCTTCTAATTATTAGGCGGTGTCGAATTTTAAAGAGGAGCTTTTAGTAACAGGTATTGCGGATCATTTAATACTACACTTTAGAGGAGCTTTTAGTAACAGGTATTGTGGATCATTTAATACTACACTTTCTTGTTTGATGCGTGAACGCTACAATTACAAAAAAAATATATATAGCTTTTTCAAAAGGAAAATACAGCTTTTTCAAAAGGGTATGGTTTATATAAGACCGAGGCTCTAAACAATCAAAGTAAGATGAATCTTCAAATAGTGTCGAAAGATGCTGTTTCAATACTGGAAATCTTTGTGATGGCCTGAAAATTTATTTTTATATCTAATTATAAAGTTTAAAACTTTAAAAGCAGTGTAAATTGACCAAATCTATGAACACTTGAAAAGCTTGAAAAGTTACGGTTCGAAAATGCATTACAATATACACTATTTTTAAGATTTGAAGTCAATTTTTCTCATGTGCATACATCTTGAGATCAAGATGATCAATTTGAGGATTTTGGGCTTCAAAACAATCACTTTTAGTAAATTTTTTAGGTGCGCCCTTAGTTGATTGTTTACAGCTTCGGCCTTATATAAACTCTTTTCTTTTAAAAAAAAGTGCCATTTTCTTTTCTCTTAAAAAAAAAAAAGAAGCCAAAGTTTAAGTTCGGGGGTAGGAACCCAAACTCTAGGAAAGTTTTATCGAGAAGAACCCCGACAAAACACTGACTCTCTTCTCTCGCTCGCGTTGAAGTTCCTTCCTCCCAGCTACCTTCTTTGTTGAAGGAGAGTGAGACTACAAATCCAAGAGGTGTGTTTGAGCGTTTTTCCTGTCACATCTTAATGCTTTAGAATTTGGATGCATCACCCTTATGTATAGTACTAGAGGGTGTTGTGTTGTTTTCTTGTTGCCAATGAAATGTTTTCTGTCACAGAAATATTGATTACAAAATGATTGTCTGTAACCTTGGTACAACTGTCCATCTCTGTGATCTTTGGAGCAATGCTATAGGTTTGTAATGGTTCAGATACCTGAAAATTAGAAGCTGTGTATTTTAGCATAGATTTGGGTTTTGATGACCTTAGGATCGGGATGTGAAATTGGCTCGACACCCTCCCCCTTCTCACTCTCAATCGTTCTCTCCCTCCCTTTTGGAAACCATGTTAGGGTGCATAGCATAGCTCAGGAATAGGTTGCTCAGGGTTTTGGGTATAAATCCTTCTGTTTTTGGCTTTTGGTTTTCAGGGACAGTACAATTCTCACCTTCTTTTTCCCTTCCTTTTCCTTTCTTTTTTTGTGTTTTTTTCCATGAAACATACTTTCCATCTACAATTGATGGCTGTTTGAATATTCAAGTTATCTTTTATGAAATTGTGGTGCAATTGAGCATGCAATTCAGGAACTTGTCAAAATCAGTTCACATGAAGGTTTTAAACCTCAATTAATGCAAGAAAAGAAGTGCTGAACTGGCCAGAATGAAGCAATTAAGTTGTAGGCTTATAGCGAACATGAGCACATTTGCAAGCTTAAGACATCTTTCCATCATTCGTGGAGGGAGTCCAATGAGGGTGTCGATCCTTTGGCAATAGTGCATAGGCATTCTTTTGTAGTTAAATACTTGTAGATTGCTTGACGCTGATTTTTGTGTAGGGGCTATACATGCAGAATTCACACATGCTGGATTCAACTTTATGCATGATTCACGCCTGTACATCCATTTTTGATTAAGTGGGCTAATGATAAAAAAAATGTTGAAACAATCTATTAAATCTGTCTGAATCTTAGTCATAGAAAGTTTCTATTGCCTTTGAACTTAGATGCTTATGTTAATGGATTATGACTTCTGTTTCAATTCTTTGAAGGGCACGATTAAGATATGGGGCTTCTCAGCATCATTCGTAAAGTGAAGAGGAAGGAGAAAGAAATGCGGATTCTTATGGTGTATGTTAAAATATTCGTTGTTCTATTGATGGATCTTCAGTGCATATTTCCAACTAAAAAGTCCAGTCTCTTGTCTGCATTCCCTTGTTTAATGTAATGTAATGTTTGCTTGTGATCTAATGAAGGTTGACTGGGTTCTAACCTAAAGACCTTGGATTTGAAGTTTTTGGCAAGTGGGAGATGCTCATAGGTTTTGCTTATATTGATCTTCTCTGTTGGTTTAAGTTTGTCATTATTGCCTGCAGGGGGCTTGACAATTCTGGAAAGACTACGATTGTCATGCGAATAAATGGTGAGGACACGAGTAGTATTAGTCCTACTTTGGGGTTTAATATCAAGACCATTGAATATGACAGGTTTGTTTGCCATTTTATGTTTTCCAGCTCTCTTAAATTATATCGGGTTGCATGTTACTTTTGTTGTCTCTTATGCTTATTTGACAAGAGCTTGAACTGTTCAAGGTACATATTAGTTTTGCAAATATATGTCAAAATAACCAAGAATTTTGTACAAAAGGTTCGTGAGTACCACCTTCTTCGTTTCAAGTTGTACCTTTGGGTTCAAAAAAGAATCTAGTCCAACAAAAAAATGTGAATAAGTCAATTCTACTTGGTCTTCATGAAATCAAATCTATTTGGAAAATCATGGGTGAATCTTTACTGGGTTTCCCTTGGTTTCTATTCTTTGTTTTGTATAGCTTGTTAGTATTGATGGAATATCTTATCCAAGTTGATGTGTCTGGTCAATAGACATAAGATCATTGCGTTATTCTCGAATCATTAGAGCATTACATTTTCTTTTGTGTCGCGGCACCTTAAGCCTTAACCACCAAGCCATGTACCCATTTCTCTGGCTAGCCTTTACTTTCTCTTTCTATTCAACAATTTTAATACGAACCCATTTTGTAAATTAAGTATTGATGTGTCATTAACATCAATTTCAGGTATGTGCTCAATATTTGGGATGTTGGTGGGCAAAAAACAATAAGATCTTATTGGAGAAACTACTTTGAACAAACAGATGGCTTGGTATGGGTTGTTGATAGTTCGGATTTTCGACGATTAGATGATTGCAGATTGGAGCTTCACAATCTCTTAAAAGAAGAGGTTTAATCATCTGACCATATGCTCTTTCTTTTTGAGGGAAAAAATTGAGCATATCATCTTACCGTATGCTTAGTTGCATTTAATGTCATTTTCTTTGGCAAAAATGGGTTCTGCAATTAGTGGAAGAGGGATGATCTTGTAGAATCAGGATCTACCTAATCTATTATTGATCCTAAGCTAATACTTTCCAAACCGTAGATGGATTGTGTTTGAGAGAGGGTAGTACCTATCACTTGGACCGTGTCACGTATTATGGATCATGCCATCTCTCTAATGTCTTCCAATAGTCTATTGACTAGTGTTAGGCTGGGATCTGCCATTCTTATCCCAGTTTTCCCATGTCTTATCTCTTATTGTAATCGTACCCTCCCATCGAGTATTGGAGGTATTTAGTGTGGTTTATCACTAGTTTGCTTTTATTGGTTACTGGAAGAAGATGATAATCCCTTGTCCTCCTTTCTAAATATCGGCTTCTCCAAGCCTATAATGATTTTCTTAGAGTGATGGATTATGGTATATAACCATACAAACCTAAAGGCCAATGCTCCCATCCCTTGCTTGGTTGCATAGCCCTTAGGGCCAATTCATTCATGATGCAAGGAGGCTTGTGATCTGTAAGAAACCTGGCCTGCTAGCATCATGTTAAAAACAAGTATGATTTCATTTCCGAGTATTGAGAAATGAAATCACGCACACTCTCACATACTCCCCCTCCTGCTTTGATAATCAAAAGTTAATTTTAGTTGGATATTTCCTATTTTAGGGGGTTTAAGAAATATGTTCTAAATCTATTTAAATTGTATTTAAGAAGGGGTGTCTAAGATGGAAATCTCCAAGTTAGATCGTTCTAGTTTCTCCAGTAAATTTCTCCACTGCTTTCCTAGATTTTCGCTCTTAAAAGGCGTCTCCCTCTACATTTCCTATAACTTTTCTCTAACTCATCTAACATAACCTTGCCCTCTCTCTTGGATTGTTTTGGTAAAAATGATTTACTCCCCCTCTCTCTCACACACACACATGTTTAATGAAATATCTCCTTTCTTTCTCTCCCTTTCTCTATCCATGCAAGCTCTTCGTCTTTCTCATAGATCGTATTATTTTTCTTCGTTAATATTGTACTTTTTTCTTATGTTGCATGTAGAATTTGATTCTTTTATGCTATTCTTTAAATATGCAAGGGTATTTTAGAAATTTAGTAATTGTAGATGTATTTATTATGTACTTACCAAATCTATGCATCCATCATAACAAGGGTTCCTAGTTAACATACTGCTGATTGCGGAGTCCACTGCATCAGTTTGGTGGATGGGGTTGTTATTTCAAGGGGTTGTGTATGACTCCACCAAATAAGGGGTTGTGGAACATCTATAGTGGCAATATCAATAGGAGCGAAGCGGCAACTGCCCATGCGAATATCAAGGTTTCTAATCTCGGCTCGGGCTTGGCTTGGGACTTGGTCCTTGCTGGAACCAAGGAGCTAAGGTGAGTCTGAGTGGACTTGCTCAAGTTCTTCCCAATCCCCAGAAAAAAAGAGAAAAAAAAAGAAAAAAAATACAAAAACTGGGAAAAAGGAAAATTTAAAAATCTGAAAGAAGTCAAAAAAAAGAAGAAGGGAGTATATAAATCATGAAATTAATTTCTTTTGATGATTCTGGTTAATAAAACAACACAAAATATGAAAAAAATGGAAAAAGTTGGAAAAAAAGGGAATAAATAGAAATTCCAAAAAATAGGATCTATAAATTCCTTTTTTTAAATTTTTGTGGAGAAACTAGCCTATGGATGGATCAAGATGACAAAGATGATCCTAGACTTTGAATTTCATTAAAGATTGGCAACTGGAATTGAAGCAATCAAAGTTTTCCAAAATCGGGGAAAAAGATCTCCAGTTTTGCCCATACCCTGTGCTACTAAAGGTTCTAGCTTTTATTGGTTGGACTTCCAGAGTTGGTTATCACTCGCTTGAACTCCCTACTGGGTAGCATGTTTGACTTGACTCACTCGTTTGATTCGACACTTGTTAAGTCTGTGGATGTGTTGAGTATTTTAACCTTGTTGTTGCACTAGAAATATAGAACCCTTTGATGATATAGAATATTTAGATTCCTGCTATTATACCAATTTTTTTTTAAGAATTAGTCGGTTTTATGACATTAGATTTATTGGTTGGTTCCTTCTCTATGTTTCACAGAGGTTATCAGGAGCATCTTTACTAATATTGGCTAACAAACAAGACATCCATGGGGCCCTTGAACTGAAAGATATTGCTAAGGTAGACTGTGATTGAATTCTGCCATCATTGTTATCTGTCTGGTGTCATTTTATTCGAAGGTTCATGGCAAACCAAATTTGAATGGAGTTGGTTGTGTTGAGTAGAAATGAACAAATACTCTCTTGTTTTTTTTCCGTTAATTGATCTGAGATCTTTATTGTGGTCTTTGGATAGGTCTCTAAATATTTGATCAGGTCTCTCTATGAATGCAACGGGCATGAATTTGATATAATGCTTCTCTAAGTATATGTATCTTAACTTGTCATCATTTTGTTAAAGTAGAATAATTTGTATAGGCCATTGCAGATTTCTATTTATCAGGCCTCCTTATTGTAGATCTCGGATGCATTATCTTGAGCAAAATACAAATTAAAGTTGATACGTTCATTTTCATATTTTAAACATAGATGCATGGAAAAGGGAAGTTGCTACCTGGAAGTATTTATCTTTGTGTATGTGCGTGCATGAGTGCGTCGAGAGACATTTAGAAAGGGGTGTGAATGGTAAATTTACCTGAAATACCCTTCTCATAAGTCACTTTAATATACTATCATAAGTCATTTTGGTCAATATTGTAAACTTGGAGCCAAAATTTGGAAAGCAGTTTGAGTTCTGAGATAGAAAATTGATGTATGACAGAGCGAGAGAGCAAGTAAGAGAGAGACGCAATGGTGAGTAGAGAGAGTTTGATGCCAATGGAGGGAGGAAGACAGGGTAGACAATGAGAGAAAATAGGTGGAGATGAAGGCTAGAGAGAGACGAGAGGTAGGCTGGTGGAGAGAGTGAGAGTCTCTATTAAGAATTTTCACTTTTTAATTTATAATAAAACTCTTCATTGATTTACCCAAAAAATTATTAAAATGCCCTTCAGAATCGTATTATGACTATTTAAAATAGGATTGTTTTTTATATATATACAATGCTCACCCCTGGAGAGTTTATCTTAAAACATTATTAAATGATGAACACAATGGGAACATAGTAGTAGAAGGAACCTTTGGCATATATAAGGATGGAGGTCATAGATACATTCGTAAGATTATGGTATTAGAAGTGAAAGAATCTTTGAAAAGGATGAAGACCGGAAAGGCTTTAGAGCTAGATGGTATCGCGATAGAGGTTTGAAAGTGCATGGGGACATTATCATTAACTGGCTGACCAAGCTATTCAACAAGGTGTTGAGAACAACGAAAATGCTAGACGAATGGAAGAAAAGTACCGTTTTACATATTTACAAGAACAAAAGAGACATAGAATTGTACCAACTATCAATGGATAAAACTTATGAGCCACATTATGAAGGTCTGGGAGAGAGTGAGTGAGCAACGACTAAGGCACAAAACGGGTGTATTAGAAAACCAATTCGGTTTTATGTCAGGGAGGTCAACAACCGATTCTATTTTCCTACTTGGGCAACTTATTGAGAAGTTTAGGGTGAAGGGAAAAGACCTCCACATTGTCTTTATTGATCTAGGGAAAGCTTATATTAAAGTACCTTGAGATTTGATTTGGTGAGTGTTGGAAAAGAAAGGAGTTTCCAAACACCATATCGACTTGGTGAGAGATATGCATGATGGAGCGCTAACTAGTGTTTGAACAACTAGTGAAGAGATGAGTGAGTTTTTAGTGACAATAGGTCTACATCACGGGTTAGCATTGAGCACATACCTGTTTGTCTTAGTTATGGACGACTTAACTAGGCACCTATAAGATGAGGTACCGTTGTGCATGTTGTTCACCGTTGACATAGTTTTGATCGATGAGACCCCAAATGACATCAACACAAAATTAGAACTTTGGAGGGATGCTCTAGAATCTAAATGTTTTAAATTAGCCGGACTAAAACAGAGTATATGGAATGCAAGTTTAGTAATAATAGGAGTAGAGGCGAGGAAGTAATTAAGATTGAAGGCTAGGAAATACCAAAAAGAGCGCACTTTCAATATCTTGGGACAATAATCCAGGAAAATACAGATCCAATATAACACATGTTGGGAGGTGCAAGTTAGTTCAAGTGGAAGGCTCAAAAGGGGCAAGGTGTAGGCCCAGAAGGAGAAGCAGTGAGAAAAGATATGGGGACTTATGGCTTGACTGAGAGGATAACCCTTAATAGAAAAAAATGGTGGTCCAGGATTCGTGTACCCGACCCAATTAGTTGGGAAAAGGCTTTGACGACGATGATGATACCATTCACACCCCCTCCCCCTTAAATTCCATATGGCCTCCATGCCCCACCCTCAAAAGATTAGGGTTTTGGGTCTTCAAAAGAATTCTATTCAAATGCATCCGCCTTCCAAAATCCATCTTAGAGATGGATTTTGGGTCCAAAAATTTCACAGGCTAATCATTTTAACTACCTCAATCATGAATATGAAAGAATAGATAAATTATGAACCTTAGAAATAGTCTATTTTGAATTTTTTTTAACCCTTTGTTTTTTTTTTTTGTGCAATCTTAACTTTGTTTTACCTTTTCGATTATTGAACCAAATAGTTACAATGTACAAAGGCGGCCTACAAGCTGGGCACTCTTATCCTTGAGTTCGAATACAGAAAGATCAGTGCTGAAGATAACACTCTATACATAAAAACCCAAAAAACCCCCATAATGTCAATACCTAGCTCAAAAAGTAGCTTGGATGGTCCTGCTGATGTGTCTTGCTTCTAGCTCCCTTTGAAAGTGCTCTAAAACAAACAACTGGCATTATCCCTATTTTTCTTTCCTAAGAAAACCATTATTAGGTTTTAATTTTTTTCAAACTTTTTTCATGTACACGTTTGCCGGGATCAACAAGATGTATGCACAAGAATGGGGTTAAACAAATACCCCCTGAAATGATTTTTGTAAGGTGATGAACTTGTATAATCAGCGCATGTGGGTGTATGTAATCTTTTTATGTGCACCCATCTGCTCGTGCACACACACACACACACACACACACACACTAATTCCTTCACTTATAATTACCGCACAACTTCAGGCTTCTCGTTGCTGCTATTTTCCTGAGGCGGCTCATTCGTTACCTTGAGAGAATGATGATCCTAGCCTATGTATACATGGCAAGGGGTTTTGGGACTGCCAGGCTTCCAACCATGCCTTTGTACTTGGCTTTGAGCTCATGCCTGCTACCAGTGAAGGAGTTGAATAGTTCGTCATCCTGAAGAATGTTTTTGATGTCCAAAACATAAAATGAGAACAATTTTATATTCAATGCATTGAATTTGTAACCTTGATTCTGCTAGGATTCACAAAACTACACAAACCATATTACCTGTTAGGTACTACGACTTAGGGCACATCAAATGTCTATAGTCCACATTGCACATACACTCCTCCATACTCCATAAGTCCATGTCCAATTATCCATAGTCCACACTCCACACATAGGTAAACTTAAAAGCTACAAACCAAAGTTATCAGACCACAATACACAACCAAGAGGAGGAAAAAATTTTGAAACAAATAGACTTGAAGATTCAAAAGAGTCTTCAATCATCAGTCATTACTCATCATCAGAAAAATAAGGTCAGCTGCATCTGCATCATATGCATCGGAGTCGAAGTCATCATCATGGGAATCATCTTCCTCCTCGATATAATGGTTGTCCTCTATTTTTTCTAAATCTGCCTCTGCTTCCTCCTCTTCCTCTACCTTGGTCCTTTGGGAAAAAGATCTAGTGGCCCTAGGACGGTCGGCTGACGTCCTTGAGGCTTCCATGACTATATCCTAAATCAGTCCTTCTTGCCCCTCGACCCCATCATCATCAACCAGCCACTCCATAGCATTATCCATATTTTTTGATCTGAGGGGGTCTCTCTTATCTCTCTTAGCAACCTCTCCTTCAAGTATCAATTATGCTTGACATAGACTAGGTCATTGAACCTCTCTGATTTAAGCATGTTCATTTTCTTTTTATGGATCAAATAAAATCATATGAAATTAATTATTATAAATAATTAAATATATAATAGCAATCCTACAAGACTGCAAATTTACAATTGACATAAGTAAACTATCTAATAACTACTAAAGTACTAACTTATTAATACAAATTAGTATAATTTGTAAACTAATAAAGTAAACTAAATTACCATATCAAAAGTAATCCAATTCCGCGCACAACCGGACAAGGTAGTGGTTAGGCTCAAGATCCGAATGACCAACTTTTGTAAATTTGGAGCACTACACCCATGTTGGCTCCACCAATTGACTGCAAATTGATTTTGAATTATAATTGTTAATTATATACGAAATATTAGGATATAGAATAATAAAACTATAGATTATGGAAACAAACTACAAACATGAAATGAAACTTGAAGCTAGGTTCAAAAAATAACCAGCTGCATGCAATAGCCGATGTAGCTACCTATCCCACTTCTCATCAATAATCTTACAAACAGGCTCATAGTGGCTCATCATTATCTAAATTTTGGCTCTTTCTCTCTTACATCTCTTCATACCTCATATATGGAGCCCATAGAGGGCTTGTCACTATCAACCGTGCGAAAGACTTTGACAAGAAGAAAAAATACCTTTAGAGCCCCCCTTCACCTCTCACCAAAAAGCCTTTGAAAGGACAATATCTCTCACTTTCTTCCCAACTTGAACCTTGGATCACTTGCACGCTCTCCACTCATCCGAGGTATCATCTGCCTCAATTGGACTTTCCTCGAATGTATGCTATTAGGTATAAGTACCAGGGGTAGCAAATCTCGTGATACCGGGCCTCACAATGCTAAAGGTGAGGGTGCGAGTATAAATGGAAGTTGTAACTGACTTTGCCTTCTTAACTGCACCTGAAATATCGCTCAAACCGCCCAGAGCCTCAAGCATGAGGTACACACAGTGCTGCGCATGGTGTCTAAAAGATTCTGGGTTAAGTTATGCGCAACAAATTAGCAGCAACAACGTTAGGAGTGACAACCCGTATAACATGCTGCTCCCCAACCTCCTTGATTCCCTTTTCCATCATTTGACATATGTAATGGGCATCATTACTATAATCAGAGTTATCAATAGACCTCAAAAAAACAGTCCCTAAAGGATAATTCACCAGCAAATTCATATGGCTTCTTCACTTCCTATCACTCTAATTATCAGTCATAATAGAAACCCCATACTGAGCCCATGCATCCTTTTGGACATCAACAATCTCCCTCATGATAATCACCTCTTTTTTCAAAAGAGGCTCTAAAAGCTCATATAGGGTTGGGGCCGTGGGGGTTTCATCCTAGACTCAAATTGACCAATTACGTCTACCAAGTTGTTGAAGTTGCTTAGGTGAGATGTATTAAAAGGAATGCCGACCTCATAAAACGATCTAGCAATGTACTGTGCAGCTCTAACTCTCTCTTAATTTTATTTTCAAAAGTTGTTTGCTTCTTTGTTTTCTCTCATACAACCTCAAGGTCAAGCTGGGGCAAAAAACAATCCATAGGCCCTAACTCGAGGCCTCTGAGGTCCCTCACTCCCAGAACCAAGTACAACTCCCTTTCCCTTCCCCCTCCCCCTCCCCCTAGTCTGGGATTGTTTTACCTCTTGACACCCCTTACTGTCCTGATCACCATTATCATCATCAAAATTGACCCGATCCCCAGACCTCATCTCTCCTATGGATGCCCCTCTCTCATCTTTGTTCTTTTTTACAATACTCATAAAAGTTTTATCTCCTCTCTAATAGCATAAATAAATTTTTTAATTTGGGCAACACCCCCCTGGTGTTTCTTAAATCAGTTTATGCCTCAATTTGTATCCTTTTCACAATAATTGCATCTTATGCAATTTTTATTCAAAGGATTCAGGTTATAGCCATATTTCCAACCCATGTCACCACTTCGATTAGATCCCAAAGAAGACATCTCAAAATAATACAAGTAGTCTACAAAATAAAAATTTTCACTAATTTTGATTGCTCGATCTCCAAACTTCCACCTTTGAGATGCTTTCTAAGGTCAAAACTAAATCTAATCTCAATGGGTGGTGTTTAGATTGATTTCTCGTAACTATGAGAAACCCTTTGTTCTTATGGAAATCACAAAAAACTAGTTTTTTGAGGTTTTTCTCTCTCTAAAATAGGCTCTTATGTCAAATGATCCTAAAACCCACCCGTATCCCCATTTTTTATTCAAAAGGTTTCAAATGAACCTAACAAGGGGCATTTCTACCCCTGGGCTGGGCGATGGGCACCCACCTAGGCGGGTTCTTTAGCGCCTAGGCGGTCGCCTAGGGGTAGGCCGCCTATGCCTGAGAGAGGCGCCCAAGCTCTTTAGACCGCCTAGGCGCTGGTCAGTCTACCTTTTAGAACATTGGTGCCCCTTAGATTTCCTCGAAATTTGGCTTGTTGTCCTTGATAATAGGTCAGCTATAATACCCCGGTCTTCACTATGACATCCACTGGAGCAAGGCAGCATCAAACTGAATCTTGATGGTTGCTCTCTTGGCAAATCCGGTCCATTTGGCTATGGTGGTCTTTTCAGGGCCCACAATGGCAACATGCTACTCTCCTACTCAGGCTCCATTGGAGGCTTAAATTCCACAGCTGTGGAGGCTATTGCCTTAATGGAAGGGATTGATGTAGGGGAGGAGGAGGAGGTGGAGGTGGAGGTGGTGGGTGGGAAAGGGGGGAGAAGGTTGGTTGTGGGGGTGGCAGGGGAGGGGAGGAATGAGGAAGAGAGGCAGTGACAACTAGTGGAGGGGGAAATCCCAGAGACAGCGTCTGCATTTGGGGGGGAGGGGAGCCTACTGAAGAGAGGATGGGGTTGAACTAAACAGGTAGAGACAAAGGGATGGGTTGGGCAGTAAATAAGGGGCAGGGTCCAGCTGAAAGGGAAACAACTGAAGAAACAGAGGGCGAGGATGGCCTCAGGCACGAGGTTGAGGGATTAGACGGGCCTTGAAATGCCACGCGGGAGATGAAGGCACATGGGTTCTTGGGATGGGGTGAGGGAAGGGAATCGATCACACTCCTAGGGGACCACTCGAGCGGTGCGTGCTGAGAATTGCTGGGTGTCTCCGCCTGAACTGCCGATGGAGAAGCACTCACGTGGTGAGATGGTATGCCCGCACACGAAGGTTAGGACAGAGGTGGGAGGGCTGGAATGGTAGTATGCTGAGCAAAATTTGTTGGGTGCACGTGCTGGGAACAGCTATCTGGCACCATGACATGCTCCTGTAGGGGTTCGGTCACAGGGGCCTCCTGCAAGGGAGGGATATATGAGCGACACGGATGTTTAGGGAGGGGTTGACACATGCCTCATGGAGGGAAAAATTAGGGCTCCAAAGAGGGGAGGGAATCATGCCCGTCGATTGAGCTAAAAGACTGCCATGGGCCGTTCGATTAGCGGAGCGACAGAAGTGAGAGTTTCGAGATGGACGTTTACGAGTGATCCGTGGTCCAACCAGATTGGACCATGACGGGAGGGTTATTGGTCTACATCTGGGCCATGGAACCTGCAGTGGTAATTTTGTGATCCTGGACATGGTGAGGAGAAGGGGGGCATGCTGAAGACTATGCTACTGAGATGCAGAAGAAGAGGCCATCGACTTCCAACCAGAGAAAAGGGGGGATGAGAGTGGAGATGATGGTTTCAACCAGGAGTGTTGAACGGTGCGAAGGGGTAGGAATCCTGAGGATTTCCAGTGGACTGAAATGAACACCCCATAGGCCTCTCCAATTCGTTTCAAGGTGTGGACATGCAAAGCTTGTAGAGGAATGTGAGAAGCTCGCAGCCAGATTTTTTAAGGCTTAGCAGCTCCTGTCTCCATGTTCCACTGTTTAAGGGTAAGGGCTTCACCTTTGAACCAATGGTTATGGCCTTGGAGTGCTCTGTGGAGGCTGTCCTTCGAAGGGAATGAGAATTGAACGTCACCTGCTGAACTTTTCCGGTAAGTGAGGTCTGGTGCCCTCCAGATTTCTTTGCCTCACCTCTCAATACCTTTGACAACCTCTCTCTGAGGATGGAGGTGGCCCAGCAAAGAGAGAGTTTAAGAGCTTGTTCGAGGAAAATGGAATGTTTGCGCCCAACAGAAATCGAGTAAGGAGCGAGCCGGAAGAGGAGGTGGGAGGGAAGGGGCGGAGAAGAGGAAAAGGTTAAGTGGTTAAGGTTGTTGGCCTGAGGCGACTTGGAAGGTGGAGAAGGAGAACGTAGTTTTTGTAAAGGGGGGAGAGAGGAGAGGACAGAGCAGGAGGATGGGATAGGGGTTGAGAGGGGTAAGGGGGTTGGGATTCGAGAGGTCTCAGGGCAGAGGTGGTGGTGCTGCTTGGGAAGGGGATGCTGATGGCCGAGAGGAGGGTAGGGCGGAAGGAGGCTCCATCGGATGGAGCCATTTTCTTAATAGAACCTGGTGAATAAAAACGAGGAGCCCCATGAGAAAGTCAATATTGTTATATTATCTTTTTAATGTATTTATCAAATTGATACATTTATCATTCAGACTTGTCACTGCATGCAATGCTGACACCTGTGTTGATGCCATTTGTCTGGCTACCTCCTAATAATGCTCATGATCCATTTTGGTTATCGTGATCTTGTCTCAGTACATGTTATCCATCATCATCATCATAGCCTTTTCCCAATTAATTGGGGTTGGCACTTGTTATCCATATTGATCTTTTATTTTTTTACTGATGTTTTTTGTTTAGCTTTAACCTAAAAGTAAGTGTGATCAAACTGGTAATACTTGCATTTTGCCATATCTGGGACTCTAGGTGCTGATTTTTGTTCAGAGGTCTTTTCTAGCATCCATGGTATTCGTTGATGTTACATATATTGAAATACTGAACCTCAACCATAATCTAGATTTGTGTTCATTTATTTATTTTTCCTTCTACACAATAGTCTGTGCTTTTCTTTTAGTTATATGACGGGTTCAGGAGGTTGGTATGATGGGTGTTCTTTCATGCAGGTTTTGAACCTGGATGCCATGGATGAAAGCAGGCATTGGAAGATTGTAGGTTGCAGTGCTTATACTGGTGAAGGATTGCTTGAAGGATTCGATTGGCTGGTTCAAGACATCGCTAGTCGAATATATGTTCTCGACTGTTGATATTAATGGTAAGTGGCTGGTTATTTGTATAGATTTTGGTTTGTGTAATTGTGCATTGGCCACCACACTATATTGTGTTTTCATGCATGTGAGGAGTAACATGTCTCATGGAAGACAAACTTATACGCTGGAAAATTCAAAAATCATTATAATTTTTCTTGGATCTCTTTCTATAGTAATGATTATGACGAAATATCGATAGTCCTTGTTCTACAAATGATTAAGAATAATTTCTTTTATCATTCTAACAGTTGCTTGCCCAATATAGGCATGTAAATCAGTAGACTGCTTTACTGTTTCTGAATTCATTTGTCAAATCATATTCTGAACCTTGATAAGAGATAGAATGATGGATATGTGGGATGCATACTTTGTTGATGCGATTCGTTCTTCTGCATTCCTCTTTGCCAAAAAGTGAAGGTCTCTTGTCTCTCTTCTACATGATTTGCAGCTGCTGAACATTACAAGTTCATTTCACGACAAGATCTTTTAATGTCTTGTGCTCAGTGGCATTGGTGTATTTGATATCGAGTGAAGGTAAAGCCAGATTTGGTTTCTATCTGATGCTGTGGTGTTGATGTTTTCAAGTTAAAAGACAGCTCAGTCTTGGCATTTATCCATTTTAGGGAATAGAGAAATAGGGATGCCGTGTATGCCTGGAAGAGGTGAAAAGAAGGAAGATGTTTGTCCTTCAACCAGGAAAATCTCGACTCTCAATTTGCTGCTTAATTTACTGGAAGTCTTAATCCATGTAGCAAAGCACAAGAGTCATTTTGAACTTGATCAGTGTTTTGTTGCGGTTTACATGCTTTTATCACTTGACACAATGTGATACAGTGGATGCACCTTCGGAAGGGCTTCTCTTACATCTAGACCCAATTACCTTTTTATCCCTGTGTTTTACCATGATTTCTACTGTTAGTTCAATCCCTCTCTCTCTCTCTCTCACACACACACACACACACAACCCTATATTGTTCAGTTAAGCTTTGTATTTATATTTCATGAGGGCGCTTGGATGGTTCTAAACCATGTTTAATTCTTACAGAAGAAACTGGAATGATATCTCGTATCTTTCAAAGTGTGTTGCATCCAGATACAACTTGGACTAAAAACTTCGCAGAGTAGGATCTAACTTTTCTTTAGGTTTGGGGATATACAAGGGGTTGATGCATCTTTCTCATGCTAGATTTTAGTCTTGCTATTTTTGCTGCACGCCAGCATGGTTTCTTTCTTGGTCCTGCATTGCCATTCCTTTCCATCCCAAAATGAAAAGTCATAATTATCGTTGTTTTATGGGGATATTTTAATTGCCTTCTTCTTTTGACTTGGGAATCCGTTTGATTATTATTGAGATTTTTGTATATTTAATTAAGTATATTATTTTTACTATAAAATAGTATACTATATAAATAAGTTCTCATTGAGGTTAATGAATTTGAATTCAAATCATACACAAAAAATAATAAGTTAAAAAGTTTTTAAATGGCAAAGCTGAAAGTAATTTCTAATGTGAATCAAAGTTAAAATATAAAAAATTCTTCCGACTTAAAACATCTTTAACGACATGTCTATTATCAATTACTTACAATTAGCTTCTCATTTACTTGATGGAGATTGGAGATTTTCAGGGCTGCTATCATGAAAATGAAATGTTTCTTTTTCCATTTCAAATTGCTAATTTTGCTTTCATACCACATATAAGTTATTACCAGGGAAGGTTTTTATGGTGATAGTGATTGGCTGTCCTTAATTATCGTGATAAATTCATTCTATTGGGATACCATTGGCAATGGAATTTATTGTGATAAAAGTCAAGATAATTTTCAATTTATCGGAGAGAATTATCTCTAGGATAAAACTCCTTATGTAGGAACATACTTGATAGCACAGCTATGCTAGATATTCAAGGAACATACTTCATGACAGCATCTTATTCAAGGGAGATGTTTTACTATGGCTTTGTGATTGTGATTCCTCTCAAAAACTTGGAAAAGAAAAGATCCAATTTATGCTCTAGTGGGGATTTTATTACCTTTGGGGAAAGAGCAGCAATAGAAAGGGTGCTCCTTATATTGCACCCCATATATACGCACCATAGGAAAAATAAAAACAAAGCTTAAGCTCTACTCCTAAGGAATATGATCTGCCCATGTAAGTTTGCAACCTCTCAAATCAACCATCATACCGACCCTTGACTGTTTCTGGAAGCTCCTCTTCCATGATGCCAACGCCGTTGGAAGCCATGTACTCTCGGATAGTCGTTTTTCGATCCCCGAGGAAGGTGTGATTGAGGAAGTTATCATATACTTCATCACCCATCTTCTTTGCCGCCACCAAACTGCACAGAAAACATGTTTGTGAAATCGTCCTAGACAGCGGATAGTCGATCTCGGTCATGCAATCCAATTATTGCAAAACAAGTGAAGATTAATATAGTCCCTCATCTTAGGAATTTAAATATGATGAAGACGTCTCTCTTCATTTCGGCAGAGTCGTATACAATATCGCAATCACCAATAATGACCTACAAGACTTAAAAACCATTAATGCATGCACAAAGACTAGGTAATAGTTCTACCTTGGGCTGCCAACTGTAAAAATTGGCATTATCAGTAGCCAATTTGACAGCCCAAGGTTACCCACATGTGCTAAAACACGCACTGCTAAATTGCAATTAGGCATAAGGCAATGCCCCATCCAAATGAGCCCTAAAACTAGCATGCCATTCAACAAAGCTTTTCAATAAATTGTTTAAAACTTCAACCACCTTTTAGGAACTAGGAAGTTGATGTCCATACAATGTTTCCTATCAAAAACTTCAAGGAGAAACTAGTCTAGATCCTGCCATTTTATTTACTAAGCCAAAATGTTTCTTCATTTTCGAACCTAACATGTTTGATGAAATCCCTTTTTGTCCTTGGAAAAGCCTTGTGTCTTTCAATGGTATCAACTGCCTTGTGATTGAATTTGCTAAGCAACTTGGAGCCTCAAACAATCATCGCTTGTAGGCTGGGAAGAAGTTTGCAAGTCCTATATTTGTGTTGTCTGTATGTCCTAACTCGAAACTTATTGTGAGTTCTTATAATTTTAACTTCCTCACAGGTTCTGGACTCACTAATTTCACATATTTCATATATAGGTATTTATTCCAAGGAATGTCCATTGAGGTAGTCAATGAGATTCTGCGCATGACCAGAACTTCTATGGCTTGTATAACAGGCTGATATATAATTTGATGGCTAACATTGTCCTCCAGCACCATCTTATATCCATTTTAACTACAGTGATATAAATATCTTCTGTCAGAGTAAGGTCATCATCTCTACGGGCAGCAATAGAAATTTTACATTTGGCCACTTCGGAACATTCTATGGCGAGAAACTTAATATGTTTTTCTATTTCACTGGTTACAACTTGCATTATTTACGGTCCATATTCAAGTAGCCATACACGTTAGAGATAAATGAATAACCTACTGTGGAAGATGATCAGTTGTTGCCAAAGAAAATAAAGAATGGGATGCAGTGCCCTTTTGAGTGTAACACACCCTAAGGAAGGATAGACTCTTGGATCAAGTTGTTAGGTCCATATCAGACCGAAATTGACATGGCAATGTACAAGACTCAGATTTCAATAGTAATTGGAAATATGAACCATTGACATCAGAATTTTATGTGCATGATCATTCATGCCAGTACCATTTGTAGCAAAGGTTACAGGTAGGGGAAATCAATAACAAATAGGAAAAAGGGAGTGGATTCCAAAGATACAACTAAATGAATAGATGTGCCTTCAGAATCATCAAAGACTACTTTCTCCTATTTAGAGCTTCTTTGTGATCACATTTTCGCCAACGTCAAGTTTCAGCTGATATTAAGCCGCTTACTATTAGTTTTTTTTTTGTTCAAGGTATTGTTTACTTTGTCATAATAGGGCGAGTTCCACAACAACTAGCCTCACCCTTATAAATGTAGTAAAAATATAGAAAATGAAAAAATGTAGAAAAATTGGGAAACACCACTATATTTGTTAGAAATAAGTTTTTAGATTATTTTTCTGAAATATTATCTTTTTAGTCTCCTAATGCTTTTTATTAACAATTTTTTTTAACTATTTTTTAAAAATACCATTTTTTGACCTTTTCTTGGTTGTACATGACTCAGCTGAGTCCACTTGGACACAGTTGAGTTAGTCACCTCGCCAAGGGCTAAGTACCTTGGCCAAGACGAGTTTCTGAACCTTGGTAAAAGGAAAATCTTATAAAAGGATAATTTCATAACAGTAAAGGAAAGAAGAATTATTCTTACCAGTGTCGAAGGTAAACACGGCATGGAAAGATGTCATCCCGCCAAATTCGAGCTATATTATAAGGAGGTCCAAAAAAATATTGAAAGAGTTTCTCATTGCCTGAAAAATTAGGCAGACAAAGACCATGATGGAGCAAAATTTAGTTAAAGCAATAATTGATCCAAAAATTACAAACAATGTGAATGAAACATCACGATTTAAATGGGGAAGTTAAAAAATGTCATCTGTATTAGACATTCAAGCTTCTGAAAGATAAGAAGTGGATGATCTTTAGTCAAGTCAGTAAATTGTTCAAAAAGAGAGGGTCAAACTTGTAGAGAATATAAATTTTCATGACTCATCATAAAGAGATGATATGTGCACTCCAATAATAATTTTGATCCCAAAATGTAGACAGTAAACAATGGGTTGCTATTTTCCTCCCACTTATGTGGCCATACACAAGTAGATTGCATTTGTAAATCACGGATAAGCATGTTTGCAACAGATACGCCAACAAGGAGTCCACAGGATGCTAAAATATCTTTGCAGAAAGTGCTGGGCCTGTTTATATTTCATGTTAGCAATGATAGGCCTTGGTAGTTGGTGGATGATGTGAATTGGGGCAAGTATGTCTCTGATAGGTCTTCTCTGTATTCCTCTACTGATGAAGTTTTGCTAATATTGTCAGCAAATGTTTAAATAGTTGGTGTCTTTGTTTTAGAATCCTGAGTTTGGCCAGCTGTATGATGGAACGACTCAAAATATTAGTAGAAAGAACCCTTTCCTGGGCGGCAACAGAAAGGGCTTTCCAGAGGACTGCCATTGTTGTAACAAAGATATTGAGGAGAGTTTTACAAACTTGTTGCTCTTGCATGAACATAAGAATATTGAGGGACTGGCTAGGTTTCTCTGTATAATAGAGATGTGACAGACGCAGAGGTGGAGAGATTAGTTTTTTCTTTTTGGATGCTCGATAAAATGTGTACTGTGTAAGGTGTAGTAGGAGGAATTCCATTTATAGGGCAATTTGGTTCTTATATGCAAATTTCGACACCAGGTCAGTGCTTAAGATGCTGACACAGGCAACAAGGTTGGGCTTCCCATTGGAGAAGTTTGTAATGTTGTTCATGCTTCTTATTTTGGGGGATTATATACTATGAAACCATTTTCTTCTCGTATAAGGAGGTCACCATCATTATTAGTCATTAGATGTGAAATTCAATGGATTAAAGTGTGTCACAATATTCAAGAAATTTTATTTTGAACTTTGTGCCCATTCAATGACACATCCCTTACCACCCAAATTCTCATTTAACGGTCAGTAATGTCCCATTTAACTGCCAATAATGTTTGAGATCTCCTTATACCAAAAGTAAACAGCCTTATTGTATACCTTTCCTTCTTTTTTTTGTGTGTGTGTGTGTTGTTGTTGTCATTGATGCTCTTTGCTGGTTGTCTCATATTTCCTTGGTCAACCCCAACGCTTTCAAATTTGAGGTGGCATTCTTTTTACAGTGAGGTACATGTTTTTGTAATAATGTTAAATAGGGAGAGCAGATGGAGATCACGGTTATACGAAAGGGATGCAATTATCTTGCAAATTTCAGTATGTCCTCCTTTGGACTTGTTTCTTTAGGTGAAATAATCAAACATCTTTCTTTCTTTTTTTGGTTAGGTCTTGGAATCAGAAGATAGTCAAGCAGAAATAGGCACATTGCAAAGAAACATCTTGAAATCTTTTGATGAGAGATATCAATTATAGTTATTGGCAGCCCTCTCATTTTTACTGATTGGTAAAATAACTCGAAATATCACAGGAAATATGTGTATTGAATACCTCTGCATTTATCGTGAATAAACTCCTCATCACTGTATCGAGCACATACTACCTGCACTATTAGTAGACGAATTAGTAATAAAATTCGTTGAGGCATTGTTTCACTTTTTATTACTAAGTGTGAAGGAAGAACATCATAAAAAATTACTACTTACGGCTGGATTAGGAAAATGTTTACCATCTAAGCCTTGGGGCACCACCTGTTAACATTTGACACCAACTAACTAATTATGTTGCAAAATAATTGAAGTGAATACAAGGGTTTCAGTCATTCCCAACTTACAGAGATGAAGCGAAATTCAACCTCTCTCTCGATGAAAGCGATGACCTGTGGAGCTCAACAAGAAAGAATGCTTTTTTCATGTTTTTGTACTTATTGATTAGAGACATAAGGATGTAAAAAAAGCCCAACTTATTTGTTTTGGTTACCTCTGGCTTTTTTACTTCAAAAGCTGTAATTATAATATGTTCCCCATGACATGGTTCCACACTCAAACTTGAAAGTTCCTGCATGCACACTCACTCACTCAGTCTATTATATCACATACGTGCTGTATAGAATCGCCATGAGAGAGAGAGAGAGAGAGAGAGAGAGAGAGAGAGAGAGAGAGAGAGAGAGAGTAG